CGGCTAACCCCCATCTGGCACAGAGAAAGTGCTCAGGATGGGTCAACAGATCCCACAGTCTAGTCCCAGGTCTGCCAGGTGAGGCTGTGACTCCCGCACTTGCCCTCTCTGGGCCTGTTTCCCCATGTGTGAAGCAGCAGGCAGGCAGGCGGGCAAACTAGACCATCCTAAGGGCTTCTCCAGACCACCCGAGTTTAAATCCAGGTACTACTGCTTTCAAACTCTGTGATCTTGAGCAGTTAACTTCTGGCCTCAGTTTCTTCCTATGAAAATTGGGATAATGTAGTCCCACCCCAGCAGTTACTGTGAGAGTCAGATCAGCCACACACATATGTCAAGTAATGCAGAGCCTGGATCACAGGAGGCCTCAAAAAATGTTGGCTGTCATCATTGTTATCAGCCTTCAAACAGTCTGTATTTCAGAAAACAATGGCTCAGAACAAGGAACGGGATGCCACTGACCAAGTGACCTTGGGGTCAGCTGATAGGTATTACAGATGAGGGAACTGAGGTCAGGAGAGGGGAAGTGAGTTTCTGAAGTACACAGAATAAGGCAGAGGAGGGATGGGAACCTCAGCCCCATGGTAGGCCCAAATACCTGCTCTTCACAGCAGTTGTGCAGAGTCCCGCCCTGCCCGGGGATGGTGTCAGGGGAGCAGGCAGGCTCTAGAGGGCCAGGAATTCCCACCCATCTCACAGGACTTCCCCATGGAGGCAGAGGCCCTTTGGGAGGAGCTGGCCTTCGGCAAGGTGACCTCACCCAGCATTGCCTAAGTGTGAACTTCTGGCCCAACTGCGCCCTGCTCCAGTGCCTCGGCACACATCAGGACAAGGTGCGGCTGCAGAACTCTCTGGACAGACACAGCACCGGTCAGACACATAACTTGGCAAGCAGAGCACATTTCACTCCGACTCACCCCTCAGCCAGGTGTCCTTGCACAAGGCACAATGTGCACCACTGCACCTGACAGCCCTAAGTGGAAGGTCAGGGAAAGGGGATGGGGACAGCTGGACACCTCTGATGACACTCAGGCACCACCATGGCTGCTGCCTAAGCTGGCCCTCTCCGCTGTGATTCATCCTCACCCTTGGGCTGGCACGCTCAGCAGCCTGCGAGCAAGGCCCTGCCAGAGAAAAATCGGGTCCCACTTCCTTGCTGGGGACACAGGTGGAGCCACCCTCCCAGTCCCAGCAACCAGGTCCATGGCTGCAACAGCATGTGCCAGGTGACAGCTGTCTCCTTGGGACAATCCTCTGGGGTAACATAGGTCTGGGTCTGAATCCCGGCGCTGTCACTTAACGGCTGGGTGACCCCTGGAAAGTCATTTCATCTCCGAGTCTGTGCTTAGCTATAAAACAGGAACCCCACTGCTGCTATGGATTTACCAAGGTAGTAGTATATTAAAATGCCAGCATATAGTTAGAGCTCCAATGGAGGCTGTAATTATTTATTGTCCAGGAGCTTCATTCCCCTACCCTCCTGGTGAGCACACCCTG